GGTCTTCCTGTACATCCTGGCAGCTCTGGAGCTCCCGCTCCGCATAAAAGGTGGAAGAATTGGCGTTCTGCTTGTCGCGCCAGGCCTCGCCGGCCATGTAGATGCGGCCTTGATTCCTCTGCGACTGCTGCTGTGTCATGGACTCAAAAGTCCAGAGCGCGAGATGCTGCTTGCTTAAGGTCTGGAAGCCAGAAGGAGAACTTGCACTACCCTTGCTTCCCTCCGCTTGCCTTGCCTGTGAGCCTCGGGATGCTCCACGGGCTGCAGAGCCTGGAGGCAAACCCCAAAAGGCTTAGGCTTCTGCCAGATGCACGGACACAAGCGACGCGAAAGCAGATTGCTTCAGGCAGAGGGCACAGGCCTGGATCCAACCAAAGTTGCCATGCCTGCGAAGCGGAGCGGAGGGGTAGAAACTTATGTTAAGGATAAGAAAGCTGAGTCACGCACCAATCGAGTACTTGTCCATGCACACGTTTTGTACCTCGTGATGTCTCATGATGCATGTAAGCACGACAAGCTCGCAGCCAGCACTTCAAGGGCACTGATAAGCCGTCTTTGCTGGACAGGCTGTGGACCATGTCCTCAAGGCGAGACAAGACAGGTCTGCCAAGGTCTCGGAACTAACTCCAAAACCAACATCTGCTCTTTGCAAGCAAGGCCGTAGTCTCTTCGCAAGCACTTCAAGATCCTTTGAAGCTACCCAGGCGAACAAAGCACGACACGTGTTGATGTCCTTTAGATGCCCCTTTCATGGCTCTGAACCAAGATAGCGTAACTGGGGGTGACTCGACCGTGCTTGAGATACCACCCCAAGACTATCTTTCATGCAAACATACCCTGCACCTAAATGACGCAGGAACGGCAAGTCCCTCGATATCGCAGGGATCATGTAACTCCCTGAAGATTGGTTTCATGCTGCTGGGCTAGGACTAGCTAGCATGACTCATTGATCTGCAAAATGGCCCAGCGACAGACATCATTGTCATGCAGTGTGTCACCGGCATAAGAGCAGTCTGAATCCGCAAGTTGCAAGCAAACAAGCCAAAGCGTCACGTTCTCTTAATCCCTTGCTTCTGCATGTTGTATGCGGAGCTTGTTTTAACAGATATCTTTGTTTTCACAGTGCCGCCTTGAGCTCGTTACAACCCTTCTCCAAGACACATGTGCAGATTAGCGTATTTTGGGCCGGGTCTTGGATGGAAGGGGGGTCCAGCCTTCGAGATTCAGGACACAACAACACAACAGGAACACAAGCCCTGAACCCTGCAAGCAGCGATGCAGGAAACACTGTTAGAAGCACGGGTGTAAACATTAAGAAATTGCTGACGGCGGTGCAGATCTGGGCAGCAACAGTGCACCCCGGAAAAACGGTAAGAAAGCATGCGGGACTCGGACATCAATAGTTGCCGCAAGTGTGCCTGGATCCTCAATCCGAAAAACGGGCAACTGCGGAAAGCCCCTATGTAAATAATCCTGCATGGAACGATGGAAAAGTCCGGAGCTACTTGGCTCGTCCTCGGCAGTTGAACGGTGCGCTGGAGAATCCCTCGACCCTCGAAGGAACGATGGCGGACAAACCAGAAGCGTTCGTGACCTCTGACTCTCCTGTGGCTCTTCGATGATGTCCGGCCTTGCCTGACCTTGTTCCACCGAAAGTTGTACAAATTCTGCATGCCGCTGAACGTAGCCTTGCCTGCCGTGGTGGCTGGAGTTGTTTGGGGCAATTCTTCTCTTTGCCCACGTGGTTCTCAGCCAAGCAAAACCCTCCAATATCCGAAGACATTCGATGTTCAATTCGCGCCAGTGAAAATGCTTGAATCTGCCTCTCGGTGCTTAACTTTACGGAGGCCCTTACGATTGCCAAGCTTTGCACATGGACACACGTGCGCATGCAGGGCCTTACATTGTTGTGAACGACAAATCAATACAAGCTTGGCTTGCCTGGATGCTTAAATTTAAATATTTTGGGTCCACCCCGCAACTTGTTTAAAATAATTGAAACAAGTGAAATCCCGACCTTTGTCCCTTTGGGGCCCAGAACGTGCTTCCAACAAATTGAAATATTTCAAACAGATTTCAATTATTTTGGGCCCCAATTCGTGAAATGTTTGAACTCGAACCGATTTCAGTTCTTCCAATTGTATCAATTATTTGGGAACCCAATTTTGCAGACCATTGAAAATAGTGGAAATCGGCCCGAATCCAATTATTTCAGAAACTTCAACTATTGAAATGAGGGTGCTGAGAGGTTGATGTGCCTCTGCCCCTCTCGCCTCCCGCCCCCCGGCCACCCCCGCACGGCCCCTCATGGCCCCTCTGTTCCGCCCATGTCCTGTTCCCCAAAACCTAAGGAGATCCTAGGCGCTAAACCCTAAAAGGCTGGTTGGCTTATACGAAGATGTTGCTTGGCAAATCTCCACACCTAGAAGCAGACCGCAAACCCGGGAAAGCAGATGTCGTAGGCTCACGAAACCTGTAAGATCGTTGTGAGCCGAAAGGGCTGGCTCATAACCCCCAAGCCCTAAAGGGAGATGTTACGTCGCAAAGCCCAACACCCTGAAAGCAGACCCGCAACGGTGAAAGAACATGTCGTTGATTCGCAAACCCAAACCCAGAACAAACACACACCCTCAACCCCGAAACAAGATCTCGGTTGACAAAACCCCCAAACCCCAGAACGAGACCCTAAACCCTGAAAGGCCCCAAACACTAACAGGAGACTCGCGAATCCCACACCCCAAAATAAGATGCTGGTAAACGCTGAACTTCAAAAGCGAAACCTCGCAAACCCAGAAGGATTCCCTAAACCCGAAAAGGCTGGCTAACAACGCCCCAACCGAAAAGCGGAGCCCAAATCGTGAAAGAACATGCTGGCTCGCAATCCCCAAACCATAAAAGAAGATGCTGTCTCCTCCAAACCCCGAGCCCTACGGTTGCAACCCATAACCCTAACAATACATACAGCTAATACAAAGTCCTAAACGCTGAAGGCAGTCGGTTCCCCAAGAACCCAGAGCATAAGAGGACATGATGGCTCCGGCGGCGCATGATGGCGCATGCACCGAAACCTTGAATGTGATGCGCAGCTCCTAAGAAAAACACCGCAACCGAAAGAGGAGTGATGGAGAACAAACCCGACACCGAGTGCGGGCCGCGAGCTGTGCTGCTTGCGGGCTCTTTCGGTTCTTCATTGCACTGCCAATCCTGCAGTTGTGGCCTTTATGACAGATCTTCGTGACGTGCTTCTGGGATGTCTCCGCACAAGGACTTCACTGAATTCATTCTGAAGGATTTTGCGGCAACCTCGCAATGAAATCCGTTTCCCACGTTTGATATGTATTTTGTGCGGATGTGCTTTGCAATAAGCTTTTGGACTGCGTAAGCCTGGTGTTCCACAGGCAAACCATGCAAGTCCTAGACCAAATCATTGCATGCAAAATCTGCGTCCTCTTGACGGTGAAAGAAGAGCCACACAGGAGGGGCGTGGGGCATGAGCCGTGCGGCGCGTGGTGTGTGGGGCGCCGTGAGCAGGTGGTTTAGCAACACCAGGGGGTCTGTTGGAGCTATTGAACCTCACAAACGGGAACTGAAAGCGACATCGTCAGAATAAACAGGAACACATCAAGTTTGCCCACTTGCCCGGAATAAACCAGCAAATGATGCAGCTCTTCGAAGTCGTCTTTTTCCTGGAACCCAAACATGGATCGCATGATAGGGAAAACCATCGTCAATACAATCTTCGAAGCCTGGTGATGCTGCATTTCGGCGCCTTCTTAGCATACTGGTGAGTATCGGTTAGGGCAGCAGCATGTCAACGTTGAGGATCGCTGCTAGCTGCTGCAGTATATAGTAGTGGCTGGTACAAACTCCTTTTTTTTGCATCCTACCCAGACTTCGGCGGTGGAAGCTTATTTCGGCTTTTTGTGTTTTGGGTCCTTCTTTCTGTTGTGGCATGAAAGCCGAGTCTTCGCTGATGTTGCTAGGGAAACCTTGCTGCTTTTCGATGCTCCGAAACTGCGATGTACACGATTTTGCTACTCAAGTCTCGATAACAAAATTGCGGAAGATACTATATACACTACAGAAACCGTATACAGTGCAAATACTGAGAAGACTACAGAAACAAAAAAACGCACCGGTAGTAACGACACTGAAGATGCATTGGATACTGGAGATACTAGACATGGTACAGATACTGTATATTCTATGTCTACGAGTATTAAGAATATTGCTCGAGGTACTGCAGATGCCATAGGTGCAATATACTTAGGATACTTGAGTACTACGTACAGCATCTGTACTAACTATACTATTTATACTACCTACCAACAATATCTATACCATTTTTACTATCTACATAACTATATGCGATGGCGGATGGCGGTTGATCTCACATCTTGAACCACGATGGTGGTTGAGCTCATATCTAAACCTGATGCATTAAGCGATGGCGCTAGCTCCCATCTCTCAAACACGGCCCCTCAATTAGACGATGGCGGATGGTGGTATACCGTCTATCTCAAACACGACCCCTCATGAGGCGACCGCGGTTGACCCCACATCTTAAGCACAACCTCTCATGAAGCGATGGCAGCTTTTCCCAATTCCAAAGTCGGCCCCTCGTTGGGCGATAGGAGTTGTGTTATATCTAGACTCGTGAGCTCTGGCCGGAAGGAGCCGGGTTGTGTAAACAGTAGGCATCAGCAAGCCTTGCAAAAAGTGGTTCGTAGGACGACCGACGCCCCTTTGCAAGGGGTTGTGAAAGCCCAGCCCGAACCCTCTCACGAGCAGCTTCTGATGTTTGCCGGAACTGGAACATGGCTGGGTGCCTTGCTCAAAGGCTCACGGCGACTTGCAGCGCTTTGTTCCACAAGGCATAGTTCCCCTATGCATAGGTGGCAAAGCCCCAAAGCAGAAATCTTAACGCCATGTCTTGATTTGAGCAACATCTGTACACGATGAAGTAGAATCAGTAGAACTGCACAGCCCACCAAAGTGCATCATCCCAATTTTTCACCGATTTCCAAGAAGGCGTTCATTGCATATTCGTTTGGCTGAACGAAGATGGCCCACTTCTCCACCTGCTGTCAGAGATTGTGCAATCACCGGCCGGGGCGGAGATCCATTCACAGGAAATACAGGCTTCTCTCTCTCTGGATACGGTTATTCGCCGCCGTCTCGACAGCTTGCATGTCTTTCAGGGTTGAGCAAGCATAATGCACAAGCTCTTGGAAAACGTTTGGAAGGCATGATGTTACCCCGAAAGCCCACACAACCGATTCCACTGTCCCCGAACCAAAAATGAGTTGCTGCAGCTGCCTGAGGTCTCGGCGAAAGCGATGCAAAGCTTTCAACATTAGCTGAAACCGCACACTGCACAAGGCACTTGGCAGGGATACCCTGTGCATTAAGAACCTCGAAATACAATCAGGCAAAGAGAGCTGTGATCGCGGTACCCAAGCTACAAGTTGTCACATGCTCGACGTACTCACGCAATAACAGCTTTCTGGTCACAGCACACAGCCCAATTTAAAAATCTTCGGGACTCCGCTGTCCCAACCGTCGGCGTGCGAGCCAGGTCTGATTGTTCAGACAGCTCCTAAACACTTCCAAAACAGTCCGAATCATTCTGGCGCAAGTTGTATGCCTTGGCAGGGCAGACACGCTTCCAGTGAAGGGGACACCCCCATAGTCCTCTTGTCCTCGGGTTCACGCCTTGATGTGCCGGGCCTGGCCAGAACGTCAAACACGTGGACCTCAAAGACCCTCAAAGACCCTCTGGCTAGGCGCCATGCGTAAGAGGTCATGAAATCTTCCTCCTGGCAGCTCTGATTCAGTACGGGTTGCACTCATGTTGACAGAAAGAGGGCAGCTCCCTGCGCTCAAGCATGCTAAACCTGACTGCAACGAGCTGAATGTGCTTCATGGTGCCGATCATTCTGAAGCCGAGAAGATGCCCCCAATGCCGAGTCTCACCATCACTCACGCAACATTGTCGTTTCAGTTAGACATTTTGATTTTTTCGCAACCGCAGGGTCCAACAACAAGGTCCCATCAGCACCGACCGCTCAAAGGCGCTTTGGGGTTTTTGTGGCTTGTTTCTTTTTTACAATCTGTACCCAACAGGCACTATTTCTGGCAACAGCTGAGACTTTGTGGTACAAAGGCGTGTTGTCCATGCATACAGGAGTTTGCGCGACATTTGCGCGACTTCTCGAATATGCACAGTGCAAGGAATGGAGTATAACACATGATCGATGATGGAGTGGACGGGCGGCTGATCCGAAGATAAGTGATCCAATCTTTGAGAGCCTTCCACCAGGCACGATTCTGCCCAATGCGGTCTGGGGCGGGCTTCTGGATGTCTATACAATTGTCCGAGTAACGCGAGCCTGTTCGGGGAACGCATTTGAGGGGGAACAACTCTGCAGGAATTGAAGGCCAGGTCGGCCAAATACTGATTCGAGCATTGCGCAGAAGAAGAGGGGTTAATTACTTTATGGTGGTAAGAGGGTTTGATCTCAAAAACCACAGGCGGAGGCACTTATAGTGAACAGTATTCAGCTTAGTCAACAGTGCGAGTGTGAGTAGGATGCTGTACAGTGCATACATGGTGTATGGGTTGAGGTCGAACCACTGATCTGAATACGAGACGAGCTTCCAGTTAGAAGGGAGATGCCCATGCTTCAAAACGGGGGCAAGTTTCCAAGAGGCTTCCATAGCCCCTCCAGACCTCCGGGGAGCGAAGTCCCCGCTTGCTGAGGCGAGGCTTTAGCAACAACTACGATTCCCGGCACTGCAACGGGCTGCTCTGCCGTGGCCATGGCCGGTACTTCGGTGGGAGCGAGGGGCTCTGCCATCTTCCGCGAACTTCACCAAAACGGACAGTAACCAAACTTTTCGAGGAAAGAAAGCACGACATGAAAAGCGTACGGGGGCCACTACGGCACAGCTTGAGCCCGTGGACGTTGTGACAAGCAGCAGAACTCTGTTTGCTTGTATGTCCCGACAGGTTATGCCTAGACCATACCCAAGTCTCAAGCTGTCCTAAGCTCTCATTTGTCCGCACTCAATGTTGCATCAGCTTGAAACAAAAAGCAGATGCAGAGCTCTCGAGCAAGTGTTGCAACAGAAAGACGATTCCGACAGCGCGGTGACGCAGCTCTTCCCGTCCTCCGCTTTGGCGCGCAAGGGCGAGGCAGGATTGCTTCGGCCGTTCCCCTGAAACCACAGCCAGCGAAATGCCGCTTGCAGCTCTCGAGTGTGCTTGCTTGCCTGGGAAGTGCGACGTCCACGAGAGCCATTGACCTGCATGCTCTGCATGGAGCATTCAATGCTCACGAAGCGATACCATTTCCGAGACAGCCTTCTGGGAAGCAATGGCTGCTCTCGCGGCAGGGTAGCCAGCTAGGCGAATCTGACGCAGCCTCGCCATGATTTCGATGCAGGTAAGTTACAAGGATGCGTCTTGCAGCGAGCCAATAAGAGCCACGAGCCACCTGGAGCCTCTACCAAAGAAACAGGAGCCGCAGTCATTTACCCCTCGTGGAAGCTCGCAAAAGCCAACCAATCTATGCCGAATCTGAGTCTGACACAGTTCTTGACTGCTGCACTGCCATCGCAAGCCTGAATAAAGAGCTCAAAAAACGAAACCATCTGTGAAGGTAGATGTTGCATGTTTCGGCTTACACAAAGCTTTCCAAGGGGCCTGAGTCCCTCGACACAGATCGCTCGGGGCTCTCCTCAAACCACCAGCAAAACAGGCAACTGAGAAACGAAGCATATTCTGACATGCTGGATGTGTGGCTCCTCGTGTGGTCGGCTTCGAGCCGTCTCTGGCACCTTGCAGAGTTGACCAGAAATATAGCCCAAAATCGAACTGAAAGTTCGAGCACCTCCTGGAGGCCATCATCCCCTGACTCCTGCAATGCGGCCGAATCTTGTCAGTTCAGCTTTCACCCGACACCCTGCATGCTCTCGACATTGACCTGCCTGTGCCAGGTGCGAGTCACTCAGCGAGAGCTCAGCTGACTTCGTGCCATTCCGAATGGCCTGAGCCATCTGCGGACTGACATTACGAAAAACATCCGCATCCGAAAATCTCTCCCACAGCAGTGGTAATCCAGCCAGTGTGAGGCCTGCGCTGATGCCAAGTCCCCTACGTGCAAACTGACGCCTCGGCCGCAGCAGGACGTTCGCCAGCTTTCGTGACCCACTTCCGAGATCTTGGCAGCTGGATGTTGAAGAAACGGCACGGCCTTCCACACAGCGAGGGCAGTCACAGCCCGTCGAGTCCGGTCTGGATTTCTATGCGCGGCCCGGCCTCTGCGCGAGCTCGGTCTCTTTTCCTGAGTCTCTGTGGTAGCGCACCGGACTACTGTCGTTTTGCGTCTTACACGTGTGCACATGGTTGCCTTGGTCTGCGCAATACTGGAATTCAAGCCGAGCCAAGCCCGACCTTAAGACTGTGAACATCTCGAGTCAATATCAAAATCAAACCGTTTTGCAATCCTTGTTGAACAACCTCGCACCATCTTACGAACATCCTAGTGACACCTCATTCCGGTGCACAACGTTGCCGAAATTGTGATGAGCACGAAGATGGAGGCACGGAAGAGTGCACTCAGGAAAAAACTTAAAGAAAGCGCGTGGGCGGGGGGGGGTGAGAAACAGTCAGAGTCAAAGAGGAGGCCTCGCAGGGAGCAGACACTAACCCCAAAAACAGAGCTGGGGCACGGCCACAGCTATTGAAAGGGGGGCAAAGCCACAATAATGTGGGGCGGTAGCGATGTACGAAAGCATCTCTCGACTGCAATGATGAAGGTTGTCGAGAAAAAAGCCGCGTATTTCCCGGCCAGTCCATTGGAGGAAGGAGACTAAGATCATGAGATGTGCTGTCGACTCAGAGACACGTCGAGATCTCTTCAGCCGACAATTCCCTTAACCAAAAGGAGCTCATCCTTAGATGAAAGGAGATGTGCCTTCCGACTCTGGAAACGAATGCTCTTGATGCCTTGACTGTCCGAAAAGAAGTGCCTGCGGTTTCCGGGGGACATCTGGATCATGGGTACTATGTTGTGCGAAATTGATATTTACTGTTTTTGGATTCGAAAGGGGTCAGTTGTTGCTGTCATATGCGGGTCAAAAAACCATCTCCTGCCCAGATCTGAAAGCTTCCATCTTAAAGGCTCTGGCGACCAGCCGCTTGAGCTCCTCCCGCTCTGTGAGAAGCACGGAGACCTCGAAAAGTAGAGAATACATTACACCTGTGCAGGCTCAAGACCGCTGAATTTCTACCGGACCATCCGAGCAAAGCGGATCTGCTCATTGAGCCAGTTCCCATGTGTGTACAGTAGCGTACACTGGTTCACAGCTCAACCCTCCGCAGATCAGATTTCTTCGTCGGGCAACACGGAAGTGAGTCTAAACCCAGCAAGCACAAAGTCGCGGCATTGCTCACGATTGCCGAGCCCCGGCCTGCTTCAGCAGATTCTTCTGAATCATGTTCAACCTGAAAGGATCGGAGACAACGAAAGCCGTACCTTTCAGTCTCCGCAAGTGGGTGCTATTTTGACCCATTTCATACCTTGGCATTTGCGTTCGGTGTCTGTCCACTGTCCTGATCCATTGGAAAACCGGCTGCAACATTAAAATGCTCGATCACTGACGGGTCTGACTTAATTTTGCCAACTTGCTTGTGGGCTTGGGTGCCGACATCACTCTGGCCTTGACAAGGAAGCTAGATGCAATCAAGGAGCTGCTTCACCCGCTCACGAAGGCGATGATTCTCGGTTCGTGCTCGCTCATGCTCCTTCAAAACGGGCACAAGTTTCCAAGGCTGGAATCACACGAGAGTGTTCTCCGCAATAAAAGTCATTCCCCCGGAATTGCGGGTACATACGACCCGATTGCACTCAGAGGTCGAGGAATGGGCCGACAGGAAATGGACTGAGTTTCGCAGTGAGAAATAACCGAAGAACTTCGTCGGAAGGCTCGGCGATCGCCTAGCAAGCTGCCATCACTGCCTTGCGGGTTGGATGTCCAGGATGTGCCTTTCTAACACTTGCAAGTTCTTACCATGCGGATGACGGCGATGCCATCAAAGAAGCAACGGTATCTTTACTGGTGCTGAAGACTGGGATGGATTTGGGAGCATTTGGGATGAGTTCTCGGATATAGCATAGCTGAACACGGTTGGCTGTTAACCAAAACCCTCAAATTTTGGATGCCCGCCACACAGCAGTTCTGAATCGCGATTGCAGCAAATGGAACAAATGCAACTTGGGCATCATGGTGAAACAAATTCACGAGGTCGTCGAGCTTCTGGAGGTCGTTGAACATGGGATCACGTCTTCACGCTCCCACATGGATCTATCGTGGCCGATTTCCTGCACAGCAGCCCGGCTGTGCGAGGGGGGAATTGTCGGGCAAAAGCTCTGCCAAGTCTAGCAATTCGCCGTCGGCTTCGTACCCGTGGGCCGAAAGCTGCCGTTTCCCCACCATGTAGTAGACAGCGGCGGAAAGAACCAGAAGCAGTATGCACGTCGTGAGTGGACTGAACAGCCCTGTGTTGCGAAACTGCATGCTCACCAGGAAGCTCACAAACAAGGGGTCCGCCATTGGGACAGAGCGAACATCGGCGAAGCCAGTGACTCCACGTGATTCGATTGTGCCTTGCCAATGAGTAATCCAAAACTGGCTTGGATCTTTCTGCACCTTCAAGACGATGTTGTCGCCAGTGTCTCTCACAATCATGACTTCGTCCTGCTTCTCTGAAATCCCGCCCAAGCGTATGAATCGACTGGGGAGTGCACTACTTCGTCCAATGTAGCTTCCGTCCTCATGCATAAACCTGTATGCGGTAACTCGCTCGCCAGGTCGCTCCACGCTGTCCATGGTTTCGGCTGTGCCCTTGTAGAGCACTTTGCCTGCAGCTCTTCCACACGCAACAAACAAACGAAACGGACGAACGGCCTTCAGTGTAAACAGTGCAAACAGTGCCAATGGCAGGGCAAGTGTGGCTCTGAGTCTACTATAGCCTACTCCAAGCTGGGCCAGCTCGACCTCACAGAATTTCGACCGCTCCTTGGCAGTTGAGAAGCTCGAAGTCGCAGTACTCCCAGGGCATGCAAGGCCATTTCCTTCGTCCACTGCCAACAAATCCAACTTCCTGAATAAACAGCGAGGAGCTGAAGGGCCTCTGCTCGATTTTGCCTGAGACACTTGACACTCGAGGGTGTTTTGGGCTACTCGGCTGCATGGTTTCCGTCTTCGACGCCTCTACGAGCTTGGATGTGTTGGAAATGGATCTTTGTCACACAAGCAAGCTCCACAATTGTCCTTTCCGCCAGAGGGGTCAGTCAGCACTGCCCGTGGGATTCTGCTTAGTCTCAGGGCCTGGCGGAACCTAGGGCGAAGGTGTCGCATTGACACGATACTCCGATTCGTGCCGTTAAGTTGCTTGCTCGCCAGGACTTTTTGAGGACTTAGTTATGTTATGGCTTGTGGTAAAGCCCCGTCTGCGAAGAAGAAACTGGTGCCCGGATTTTTGGCGGCCCTGTACACACCTTGAAGCACAAACCAATGCTATCGTGAGACTACTGCGAGTACATCATGCACTAGTGGTCTATGAGCAGATGTTTCTTGCACATTGCCAGCCCGACTCGAGACGGGCCACGAAAGCTAGTGCAAGGAAGCGGAGCAGGGATATTTTGAGTGACTCGCCAAGTGAACTTGTTTGCAGCTGTATGCGAAGAGCAGTTGTGGGGCCATTTGAGCCCATACTGCAAACGGCGGTAAGCAAAAGCACCCTGCAAAGGTGGAGACCTAACATTGGGGCAGGGGGCACTCCCACTTATGCTATCAAGGGGCCTCCTTGTTGCCTGTGAATCATGTAGGGGCCTCCCCACCTTGACCGAATGACCCGAACGCGTGACCTCGTGCACTACTCAGGGCTGGTAAACGCCAACTCCCACAGGCTCAGATTCCAAGGCCGATCGGAAAACAGCCTTTGAAGTCGCAAGTATGCATTCGGCGCGCTTTGTCAAATGCATTTCTGCCCCTGCCTCAACCTTGTGCGCACTGCACCTCCCCTTTATAAACAAAGCTTTCGTGAATTCGCGGTTTCTGTCCGAGTTCCATGACTTCGGATATTCTGGGAGCGGGGGCTGTGAGGATTGAATCTGCACTTCTTGGTTGGTGGTTGCAGACTTGTCTCATGCTGGAGCCTCAGTCTGTGGAGGCCGGACTCTGAGGTCTTCTCAAGCCATCCGCCAGCATGGGATGTACTGAGTTGCAAACCCCCCGGTTCCACTTAGGACTTAGCTCTGTGTCGCGCTTGAATTTGTTAGGTCTGGCTTTGCCAGGAGACGGGGTCACCTTCTGCACTTGTGCAGTTGAAGCAGTGCGGCCTGGAAATTGAGCCAGCAGCGCCAGCAGAACATCCCCGTCCCTGCATGAGAGAACACACACACACACACAGACACATACACACACAGAGTCTCTCTCTCTCTCTCTCTGCCTCCCTCCCGGGCATGAGGAGCGTTCGAAGCTCCCCTGGCCGAAGACCCACCCCTTACTTCACTGCGGGGTATACAGGGAGCTTGTCTGGCCTTTCTTTCACAAGGGTGCCTCTCCTTCCCTCGGGCTTGAGGGTGCCTCTCTCTCTCTCTCTCTCTGTCTGTGTTCCCGTGTCACGACTTGGGACCTGCGCGAATCCTGGTATATTGCATCAAGATCATGTCGATGGTCATGACCGGCGTACGCTTGAACTGTCAGGATGACCGCTGTTTTGACCACGCACGATTACCAAAGTCCCTGCACTTCTTCCTACTTGCTCGTGTCCAGACTCAGTGAAGCCGTGGAAAAAAGAACGTCCTGGCTGGCATATACCCACAGACACCATGCCCAATACCACGGTATGACATGCTTTTGCATTACGTCGGAACCGTTGCGCAGGTACATTTGGTTGATCAGACCACTTGTTCACCATCGTGAAACTTCTTCGCTGGGGTTGGTTGCTGGTGGCACTGCTGTCCAGCATGAGCCCGTGCCTGCCTTTCTGCTGTCGAAGTCTTATCCACAGTGGTGTCCCACACAGCCCCAAGCAAATAAACAAAAATACATAAATATACACATATATATATATATTTATATATACACATATTTTTATCTATTTATTTATGTTCTTATTTCTCTATAGATAGATAAACACACACACACACAGACACGATAACAAAAGTAACGAAACACCTTGCACACACCATTTCCAAACGGAGTGAACATGCAAACTGCAAAGTCCTCAAGGACAGAACCATGCGAAGATCAACCAGGCGAAACAGACAGCAAACTTAAAGAAAACATGAGACCAAGCTCCAATCCCCCTGTGCACTGGCAAGCATTCAGCAAACACTCTATTTAACGAGTAGCAGAAATACTCATCGCCATCCTTCACCGTCTCCGTCGCCCAAAACGTAAACATCTCGCGCGAAAAGTCGAACTGAGCTGGCATTGGTGGTGTAGGACACTGGCCCCAGCCACCTCAGGGTTTTGATGTGCTTGGATAAGATGTCCTACAGCAGGACACGAGCATGTGCCAAACTATCACACCGATGCACCATCAACCGCAGAGGCCACAAAGCCAGGCGTGCTAGGAACTACGCCAGAATCTTTATGATGCTACCGCCTTCTGCAAACATGAGGAGAAGGCAGATGCGGCAGTGTGCAGGAAGACCGCGCGTGCCATCAGCCATTGCTCTTGGAAATGAACCGTCTAAACTGGTCTATGTCTGTTTCATCTGCCGCAGCCATGCCTGTCATGATGTCAAGCCTGCCTTGTGGTTGTGGTCAAGCATTCAGAAGGCTGCGACTCGTTGTCAATTGACCACTACGTCCAGGAGCTGTCTTCCAAGCTTTCTCTCAGGTCCTCCAGCACCCTCGCATCAAGCTGGGATTGCTCGTACGCAAGGATGTGGTCCTGCTCAAAGAAAGCGAAGCGAAAACACTCGAGTGAAGGACAATGGTGAACGCGAGACTCTTGCCAGTCTCCTGCACATGACAAGGTTCGCCATGTTTCCGCAAACACTTCGACGGTTAAATTTCGTTCGTGTTCTGCAACGGAACGCTGTCATCAAGGCTTTCGCGCACATGCAACTAACATCAATGTACTGTGCTGGTCATGTGCAGCAGCACGTGCACGGACGTCAACAACATCAACAAAACTTTGTTCTTCCTTCACCCTGTGCACACATGCACAAACTGCTGTGCCTTCAGACAGGCGAAATTGTCTTGCCTTCTCTTCAAGCAGATCCAGCAGCTTCTGCTTTTCCTGGATCGTTGGAGCACATGTCCCCATCATGTGGAAGCAACTCATATCACGCGCACAACAACCTTTAAACAAAACCAACCCATACCAGCCCGGCATCATGGCACACACATGCAACGACTGCCTCATCAAACTGCTGTTCACGCTTTCTCATCTCATCTCGACAGCCTGGGATGCGCAGAGCCCAAACAGCTTGACCGAGCTCGGGGATCGCGTAACGACGAAAATCCGACAGGAAAACATCCTGTATTTCCCCGCAAGATCAGCAATGCTGTGGATGCACGACAGGAGAAGACATGTGCAATGGAAAGCATCCCAAATGTTTTGCTCAATGAAAATATGCGCGGCTTGGTAACAGGCAGTTGAAGATAGCGGGGCAGTGACCAACATTAGATGCACATGCCGAAAGGAAAAAGATCCGTTCTGCCTCCCGCGGCAGCGGGCTTCTGGTGAATGTCGTCAACTTTATTTTTTGCTGGCATGTGCCAGAATTTTCCGGGGTTGAAAGCTTGTGGGCCAAGGGATGGGCCCAAAGTTCGCAAGATAGACAAGGGTCCAGTTATGTTCCACGAACTTCTGCCAAACACCGTAAACTGAAAATTTTGGTCCATGAGCGGGACATTAGTAGCAGCACTAATCGTCGTAACAGTATTGCACGGCACTCATCTCACCGGTCCGATGATTCGACGAAATGCAAGCATAGCCCGGCAGCTCAGATGGCTGCATCTTGCGATTGAAGATCTTTCCATCGACACAAGCTTCATCATGTCAACATCTCATCAACTCCAGATTAGACCTTGCCGACTTTTCACGGTGAAGGATGGAGCGCATGCGCTATGATACCATTACGTAAGTCAGCTTGCGGTGGTATTTGGCATTGAACAGTTATGAACATCTCTGGCGGCACCTCCCAGTATCCCGCGACATGCCTCTGTAAAGTTCATGAATTTTCATGATCGGACTGCGGCTTCGGCACCTTCAACTGACCAGGATACTGCCATCTGGACTCCCAACTCATGGGGAGATCGTGGGTTGCCCAGCTGTATCATGCCAGGCACTGTGGCACCGAACCGTGTGCCACTCTCCCCGGCTGCTTCGGCGGGTAGAACAACAGGTAGTATGCCCTAGCCCTTTTGGGTGCACACAGCCCTCCGTTGTGCACTGTAGTAGCGGGGCCGGAGACGAAGGTGGGAGTGATCCTCCAACATCTAGTGCTGATGATATCATAAGCGTGAATTTGCCACGTGAGTCTTCAACCAGCGGAGACGATCGGTATGAGTTTCCGCGGTGTTTCGTGAGAAGAAGATGGAATCCCCAAAGTAGCTGAAACGAGGACCTACGAAGAAGGACTTCCTGTGCTTGCGGTGCAATGGATGAAATGGAGATTCAAACTCTCCTCAGCATGGAGTTCTTGAAGAAATGGGAGATGGCGAAGATGCTCGGCACATGTTCAAGCTTGCGTGCAAGAACGTGAGAAACTGGAGATTTCGACAAAGTGGCTGGCAGAGACATTCGAGGCTTGCGGGAAAAGAGTTTAGATTGCCCCAACCGTTCATGGAGAATCTTTACAGCCCTGCCTCGCTGAGTTCGACGCCAAGGCTACTAGCTGGTCTTTGTTGCAGTGATTCTCGTCTTTGCCTATACAGCGGAGATATCGAGCATGCTCATTACATGTGGCAACTAATGGTGCCAGATACAAAATGCTTTACCATTTGCCTGGGAAATTGAAAAGCGATCTCGAGGGTGATGGACTGAAGGCCGTCTTGGAGCTCCAGCATTGTTCCTGGAACCGACGTCTCTGGCAGTATCTAGTCATGTCGATGACTTGCAGGACCCCAGGAACGTGTCAAACGATTGGTAGCGAAGATCGAGGAAGCCAAATTTGGTCCGTGCAGCGCAGACCATGGTATGGAAAATGTCATTTATTGAAGCGCAAGTTCTCAGGTTTGAACGGATGCATTCTAGCAGAACAGGACACAAAGCATGTCGAGAAATTGATTCGCTTGGTAGGAGATGAACAGGATTCTGGGAAGCGGGCACCATGTCCGATGAATCCTCACGATGTCAAGAATGCCAAACCTCTTGAACCTACGAGGTATCAAATCTAGCGCACATGCGTAGGAATCCTGTTGTACTTGGGACCCGATCGACCAGAGTGCTTGTCTGCAATCGAGGTGCTATCAGCGAAAACGTCAAATCCTACCGAACATGAATGGCATCTACTCAAGCACTCGTCTGGCTTTCTCAAACTATACCCACACAGAGGAATTCCGTTGAGTGCTTGCCATCTTGGCACAATGGCCGAGCAACGCTGGCTAGTGAACCAAATCCTGGGAGAAAGAGAATGATGCTTCCAATCCTCTTGGAGGACAGCATTTGATTGAGTCAATTTCCGATGTTTCTTGGACCTCTGAGCCATTTCGAAGAAGCATAAGTTCTCCAATTAACTTTCTGAATGGCAATGCTTTACATTGGGAGCAAGAGGCAGCAAAAGCATCGCAGGTTGTTCCTGTGAGACTGAAGTGCACGGTACGAGAAGGTTTGCTTCTCAAGCGAATTGCCGAGACTCTATGTGGACATCCTGTACCTGCGTCGCGCAGGTTCTTCTTCGCGCAAATCATTCATAGATCGAGCAAGTTTAAGTCGAACATTGACATTGCTTATCTTTGGGTTCAAGATCATCGAGCTCGGAACATGATTGACTTGAAACAGACCCCGACAAAGTTTTGTCCTCCGGACTTGCCAACAAAAAATGACCACACGTGCAAAGATGTTATCTTACACCATGGGCATTTAGGACGACTAGTTGGGCAAGAAGAATTCGAAGAAGAATGGTCGTGTGAACATCTCAAGTGACTTCAGTGTTATAGACAAGACGGTGTTGCATGAAATTCAGCTGGAAGCGTGCTTGCAATGCTGGTCGCAGCTGATGGAATGACCATGACCGACGGCATTAAGCTTATGTCTCAAACACCAAACCCGATTTCCGTATTCACACTGCGCACCCTTTGCATCACGGCGATGATCCTTCTGATGCTGCTCTTCACGAACAAGAATGAGTCCGGGAAGAACATCTTTGCAAACGGTGAACGAGCCGAAGGTGAAGCCGAAAAATTGCAGCCATGACACAATGACAACTACAAGGCTGCGAGAAAACTTGAAGAGACTCTGGTACAAGAGGCTGTGGTACTTCGCACAACAATGTTTTTGTGGAGAATGCATTCTACGTAGGAGCAGCACTTCATGCACAAGACCTGGATTTTGCCGTGGACGACGAGGACCCCGGGGATCTAATCGAAGGGATTCACAAGACGAGATTGTGATGTTCGACCCAAGTATCGAGCAAATCCAAGTCCTGCTGCCAGCAGTGACCCAGCTCAACTTCTTGTGGACCAGAAACACCAAAACGAAACAACATCGACGTTATCGAGATGCTGGAACCTGCTACTCAAGAGTCTTGATTGATTGACCATGGGGAAGCACAATGTGAACTTTCGATGGGGTTGTTGGCAGCATTTGAGGGACATGAAGACCAAGAGCACGGCGTGAGGTCGACGATGGATACAAAGTTTGGACTGTCGGCCAATTTAAGGCAACTCATATCATCGTGAACGGTGTGGAGTAGTTACGAAAGGAAAGAAAGCAGAGACAGCCAAATGGGTGACTCGTCAACATCTCTGGCCCTGGGAGGGGAATTACAAGTCAAGCGGGCAACGTGACCCTGGAGTGTTTCTACAAGTTCGACGGCTGGTGGACCGCTGCTGTGGTCAATCAGCCTCTGACTTCGAACCATGTCACAAGACTGGTTTTGTAGTTTTCCTTTGTGAAACTGAATCTGCAGAAATGCGGACTCTCAAAAGCCTGCAGAATACACAAGTTCACAACGGGCTACAAGTGCACTACGAAGAGGAGCGAGAGTAAAATACATGAGAAAACATGTAAATATCAGTACCGGAAAACTATTCGTACCCCGCCTCAGGATGTTCCTGGGCCCTCAGGGGCATACTGTGCTGAACGATTCCGCAGAGTACAAAGCAACAGCTTGCAACACGTTGAAACACACTCCGAGTGCACTTTCGAGTATGACTTCATCACTACCCTACAATAACGTATCGGGCTTGATTTAGCCAGGCTAAGAGGTCAAACCTAAGTCGGATTGGACCGCAAGGCCCGGGGCCCAGTTGAAGCTTGACGGACGCAAGCGGACGCCTTTCAAGGGTTTGCAAAAAAAACGATTCATGCCGCCCGTTGAGAAGACTCAAGTTCGGCAAAGCAAGGATTGTGACAACCTAGTCGCTGTCTGGGCACTACACTCCACGGCCATCGAAGTTGGGCTCAAAATCATTCATTCACGGATTGGCAGCAAACTGCTTCATGTTCAAGGAAGGTCGCCACGCGTAGCCCAGGTAGCCACGCCAAGCTATGCACAAGCATCATCTGCTGAACAGTGGCAAATGACCACCTTTGCGCCAGGCAGCCAATGAGCCACATATAAGCGTATAACATGAAGACGCAAGTGCTTTGGCATCTCAAGAACTTAAGCCATGCCTTGCAGTCTTGTCCTTCTCCGCAGCTTTCGCCCTCGTGATCTCTGTCACGTCGCTGGACTGGTTCAGCTTTCCGCATGTCGCCTTGTCACACGCATATCCTTGGCTCGTCGACGCCCACACACCATCCTCAAGCTGGGACGCGGGAACACGGCGACGCGGCACCGGCCGGGCTCGCAGAACGTCACTCTCTGACCTGGATCGCTCGCTGGGCGTGTGGCTCACGCTCAAGCGTACATGGCCTGCGCCTTCCAATTTCCAATGGTATCCGGAAGCGCAGCTCACAATCAGTTCACGATCCCGGCGGTCGAAACCGACATCATGGGCTCCTGGACTTTGTGCTCGCTCACCATCGCCATGATCCTTGGGCCTCGTCCGCCCTTTGGACTTTGCTCCTCGCATCGCGGCAACATTGATCTGGGTCATGTCTGCGGAGGACGAAGCGCCTTGCGGAACATGGTCACACGCACGGCCGGATTGGCT